GAGCTCTACAACTTTTTCGTAGCAATAGGTAAGCTCGGGTTTACTGGAAGCAACTGTTCAGTCAGCCTGGAGCCTCCAACCTCGTCTGCCCACGGCCCCTAAGCTGAGGAACAGGGGAGCCCTGAAACACGCAACGCCCCTCAGGCAGGGCTGTTCCCGCGCCTTTCCTGCTGTCCTGCTCCCCACTTCCACCGGGGTGCCTGGGGGCCGGGCTGTCTTGCAGGGAGACACGCTTCTTCCTCCTCACCCGCCCGCTTGTTTACTTCGGGTGCTGGGCTTTGTTTGCCGGTAACAACATGGAAGTCTAACTTGGACACGTCCTGGCGGTGCGTAGTGAGCCACGCAGGCGGTCGCCCGGCCCAGAGCGCCGGGTGGGTTCAGGGCTCCCATGCCCAGACCAGGTGCACAGAGTGGGGGCGGGGCTGGCATGCGAGGAGGCCGACGGCGCTGGGCCCAGGGGGGCTGGGGGGCAGGCAGGCAGCTGAGCCCCGGCCCCCCGCATCTTCGTGCTCTTGCCCTGGGCTCTCCCGGGCGCCCCTCTCGGCGGCGTCTCGTGGGCTTGCCCCTTGGGCCACCAGGCCGCCTGCCTGCACGTGTCCCGCCGCCAGGCGCAGGTGTGCACAGGTGCGCGTGTGCACACAGCCACCCCCAGGTGTCCGCAGTGAGCACGCGTGCCTCTCGCCCCCAAGCACCTTCTGCATTAACACGGTCACGGCCACAGTGATGGCCACAGAGACTGACGCGTGAAAAGCCTGCACCCCAGAACTTGATAGGTGACTGCTTCTCACACAGGTAAGCGTGTCCCCTGGACCCCCACCTTGCAGACACACTGATGTCTGGAATATTTAGAGGATCCCCAAGTCTTTCAGTGGTGCGGGCACATTTGGGGACCCTGGTTTAGTTCAAAGTAAAGTCTTGACGTCGGTACGGGGTTGTCCACACCTAGGGCCTCCCTGAGATCCATGGGCAGCTGAAGCCCTGGGGTCCCCCTGCACACCCAGAGTCCGTCTGTTCCTGAGACTGTGGTGGCGCTTCCTTCCCAGCATGTAAAGGGTGCCTCCTGCCACTGCAATCTGGAATAAGCACAGTCTGGCCCGTGCTTGTTTTTATTAGCAGAGCAGCTGCTTCAGTGCAAGTTCGATCCCCGCCTGCCCCGGGTTGACCCCAGGGCGCGGCAGACCTCTCCTGACCGCCCACTGCTCCCCTCAGCAGTGGACTTCCTCGATCTGCCTGTTCTGCTCCCCGCTCTGTCTCTGGGGAAGCCTCTCGCCGCCCCTGCACCTCTGGCCTGTACCCCAGTTCTGTATGCACAAATAAACAAAGCTTTAGTAACCTTTAAAACAAAGAGAGCAGTCCCCAAATCTTATCACAGGCCCTGAGACTGAAAAATGCAGGCCTTAAGAGTAAAAAAATAAAAAGCACACTATTTTATTTTCAAAAGGAAAAGGATATTGAGGTGCTGTGAATTCCTTGCCAGCCAGCCCCCCACCGGAACTGAAGCCTGGCTCTTTCCTACTAATAAACATTCTGCATCTTTTGAGCACTTTTTCCTAAAAGAGGTTTTTGCATAAATTAGACAGGACAGATGTATTTTAATGAACAAATGGCGTTTTGATAAGAAAGCTCTTTTTAAATTAGCTCATTTTATAAGGTTTTAATAAGTAAAAATCATGTTGCAGAGTCATCCAATAAAAGCCCCAACCAGTCTGGTCTACAGAATAAGCCTTGGAGATATGCAAATGCAACTTCACCAAAGAAAACAGCCCCAGAGTGATGAAATTTTCTTTCAGGTAGAAAGTGTTCGGGAAGGACCAGATAGTTCCCTTCTGGATAAAAACGGATGCACCGGTGTTGATAAAACCCCCATCTCTGGGGAGGTCTGGGTCTGGCCATGATCATAGAATCTGTGCGCTCCCTTCTCCTCTGCCAGAACCAGACCGAGTTTCTCCATGCCAAGGACACGTGTTGAGAGCTTGAGCTAACAGGCGCTTTCATGACGTCTGTCTGAGCCAGAAGTCAGGAGTCGTCGCTCACCTTCTGATCTTCAGCTCCATCACCTGGTTGACGCTGCAGGAAACACGTGTTTCCAATCACGAGCGGCTGAATTGCCTTTCCTGGAGTTCCTACTCCCCGTGCAGGAACTGGGGGTGCTGGCTGTCTAACACCTCAGGTCTGCATGTGCAGACGCAGGAGAGACCGTTGGTTATCTGACTGCCAGGAAACCCGACGCATAGGGAGCTGGTTAACCGCTGGGGAAGCTGGTCCCTTCGCGGTCAGACTCCAGGCCAGCAGGCTCCGGCGGGGGCTAATCCCAGGACGTAGCCGCTCCCCAGAGACAGCGTCCTGCCCCGCGCCCCGGTGCCTTGCCTTCTGCCTGAGTCCCCGGGGGCGGAAGGGCCGCTGCAGCCCAGGCAGCACGCTGGCACGCACCGAGTGCACGGCCTGCAGGCACTGCATCCCTCCGCGCGTGTTTTTTTCTGAGAGTGACGGATGCGTCCCTGGGATTCCGGAGCAGCCGTGGTTTCCGTGAGCGCCGCCAGCTCGGCACCCTTTGCCTTCCCAGATGGGCCGTAGAACACAGGCCCCCGTGTGGTGTTCCTGAGCCGTACTGGCCATGAAAGCCCATTCTTGCCGCGAGCTGGGATCTTAACAGCCTTCCCGTGCTGCCAGCAAGCTGCCAGGTACCCAATAACCATAAAGTCTGGGTGTCCGGGAGGAAAATGAACTCTGTCTTCTACAGAGACTCTGGCAAATATCCGACCCTTCCCCCAAATCTTCCTGCGCCTTAAATTTGACTTTCCAGCTAAGCAAAATACAGCGTTCAGAATACACTTGAAATTTACTTCTGGCAAAGTAAATTGACATTAGAGTTGATTTTTCTTAGTCCTAAATGATCCTCCTGCCTTAAATAGTCGCCTCTGGGCATCTGTAGCAACTGTTTCTTCCGAGGAGAGCCGCCCTGGCTGTGCAGATGGGTAGAGATATACACAAATGATATTTGTTGCTTGAACAAAATGCTCACTTACTGGAGCTTTTAAAGGTTGCTTGGTACCTTCAAGGAACACAGATTATATTTTCAATAATGACTTTTGTTGGCAAAGCAAGTCAATTAGACTTTTGTTCATTTGGAGCAAGAGGCAACTTTTTCCGTTTAATATATACAATTAAATTGAGTTGAAATCTACTTTAAATGAAAATTGAAAACAAATTAAGTCATCAGTCAATGTAATGTTTGTGGCTGCAGCTCTGGTATATATTTGGATAATTTAAGGGAGAAAAAGTCTGTTCAGCATTGCTGGGCATTTTATTTTATTTCTGGGGAAGAAATAGTGAGCTGACAGCATTTGCAATTGGCTGTAAAATATGACATCTCGTGGCAATCTGTTGGGCTGTCTGTGTGAGTCCTGCATCCAGCTCCACAGATCCGCGTAACCAGCTGACCTATCAGCCTCGCTGCTGCTGCAGCTGACCATCCTGGGCCTTCCTGAAGGAAGCTATTTGTAGGTGTTTGTTCATCTTTCTTATTAACCTTGAGTAGGTCCCTTTAATTGAACATTTGGAAACATTTATATTAATAAATGGCCTTTTGTAGATTACAGCTTCTTGAAATTGGACATTTGTAAAGGTAATGCCCATCTTTTTCCCATTACGAATCATTCCCTTAATTTTATGACTGCGCATGTCTGCCAGCGATGTGCCGCCTCACAAACGATGGTGTTGGGGGAAACGATTCTGCTTCCTGTTAGTAGGTTTACCGGTGCTGACCTGGGTTTTGTCCATATGCAAATGAGTTCACAGGGGCTTTGGGGACATTATCGGGTCGCTGGTTAAAGTTGCGAGAATTATGCTGATTGTGAAATGTAAATGGGGATTATTCCCACTACACCCGTTTCGGATTTTTGAATGTCCTCCTCACAGGTTCCGACGGCAGGGCCCAGCCTCGCCGTGGGCAGTGCCCATTTGAACACAGCGCTGAAATTGCAGCGAGCAATAAAGGCTCTTTCTTTCTTCCTTATCTCTCTGCATTATGCATTGGGAAAGTTGCAGAAGTTCCATTATCTTCCCAAGCTATGTTTTGGCTCAACTGTATTAAAAATTCAATTAACTAGATATGGCGAATATCAGCCAAATTCGTTCACTGAAATGTATTCTGGAAAGTAATCCGCTGCCTAAGCATATCCTTTGCAAGTGTGGGTGCTGGAGACTAACGTGGTCGCTGCTCAGGGCTCTTGCTCGCCAGCAACTGAAGTATAGCTCAGGGTACTTCCGCCAAGCCGAATGTATGGCCTAAGCTCACAGCGCAGGGGTCGGTCCTGGGTCGCGCTGCGCGGGAATCAGCGGCCCCGCTGACTGGATTCTCTCCCTGCCTCGACAGTGATCCTCGGGGCGCCAGTCTAGATGCCCTGGGCGTCAGGTTTCTCAGTGAGAAGCCGAGTGATAAGGCCACGCCAGGGCCGAACTACAGTATCCCCCACAACCATTTAGCAACATTCTTAAAAAACACGTAATGTGGGTTAGGTGTGGCTTTATGTTTGCCCACTTAATGTTTCTGCCTTGATGTGGGGCATTTCACGATGGCCCTAAGACTGCAGCTGCGCTCAGGATTTCTCGATTTATCTCATCTCAGATGCCCGGGGCGCAGCTTCAGGGTAAGGAGGTGGCTCTGGTTCAGGACGTGTCTGTCTGGGCAGGGTCGGTGGGGAACGGGAATCTGCCCGGGGGGTAGATGAGGCCTATGGGAGCGTCTGCGGAGAGGTGACCAGCGAGCCGGGCGAGGGGTTGCCGGTCCCAGCGCACAGATCTGGGCGCAGCAGGTCCTGGCAGACCTGGGCGGCGCAGCCCCTGCTCCTCGTAGCGCCCATGGGGGGGCGGGGGCGGGCCTCACCCCTCGCGGGGGGCGGGTCGGACCTCCCCCCCAGGCTCCACGCTGCTGTTGTCACTGGGGTCGCTGCCGCCTGGCCGCTCTGAGTAATCTTGCACCTTCTTCTTCTTCACGGCAGATAGAGGACATGCAGTGGGGCAGGGGCGTGCGGGAGATCCCCTCCTCGGTGTGCACGCTGCCCTGCAAGCCCGGGCAGAGGAAGAAGACGCAGAAGGGCACACCGTGCTGCTGGACCTGCGAGCCGTGCGACGGCTACCAGTACCAGCTCGACGAGATGACCTGCCAGCACTGCCCCTACGACCAGCGGCCCAACGAGAACCGCACGGGCTGCCAGGACATCCCTATCATCAAGCTGGAGTGGCACTCCCCCTGGGCCGTCATCCCCGTCTTCCTGGCCATGCTGGGCATCGTCGCCACCATCTTCGTCATGGCCACGTTCATCCGCTACAACGACACGCCCATCGTGCGGGCCTCGGGCCGGGAGCTGAGCTACGTGCTCTTGACCGGCATCTTCCTGTGCTACATCATCACCTTTCTGATGATCGCCAAGCCCGACGTGGCCGTGTGCTCCTTCCGCAGGGTGTTCCTGGGCTTGGGGATGTGCATCAGCTACGCGGCGCTGTTGACCAAGACCAACCGGATCTACCGCATCTTTGAACAGGGCAAGAAGTCCGTGACAGCACCCAGACTCATCAGCCCCACCTCGCAGCTGGCCATCACTTCCAGCCTAATATCCGTGCAGCTCCTCGGCGTCTTCATTTGGTTTGGCGTGGATCCCCCCAACATCATCGTGGACTACGATGAGCATAAGACCATGAACCCTGAGCTGGCCAGGGGAGTTCTCAAATGTGACATTACAGATCTCCAGATCATTTGCTCCTTGGGATACAGCATCCTCCTCATGGTCACATGCACTGTGTATGCCATCAAGACTCGCGGTGTCCCGGAGAACTTTAACGAGGCCAAGCCCATTGGATTCACCATGTACACGACGTGTATAGTGTGGCTGGCCTTCATTCCAATTTTTTTTGGCACCGCTCAGTCTGCGGAAAAGGTAAGAGAAAATGCACACCACGCCACGCGACTCAAAAATGTGTGATTCTTGTAAATGTGGAAATCGAGTCGATGGTAGAGAGCAGAGGTTGTGTGTAGTAGGCAGCACGGTGTTCTTCTGGAACTCCCAGGAGGAGGGAAGCTTGCGGCGTTAGGCCTCGAGGCCGTGCCATCTGGCACCTGCAGAGGGCCTGGTCCCATGACCCCACTGGGACCAGCCAGCGGTCGGCCCTCCGACCTACTGCAGAGCCGGCTGGTGGAGCCCATTCGTAAAGCTGCCTAAGTTTAGCCTTCCTCTGCGTTCATTTCTGCCGCTTGCTCTACTTCCACACCTAGTTCTTTGGGGTGGGAAGAGAGGGCCACGGCCTGCCTTCCTTCCCGGGACTAGGCCACTGTAACTGCCCGGGGCTGCCCTGTCTGTCCTGGCACTCAAGGCTGGCGCTGTGCACTGGGTCTGCTCCGGGACCTAACGAGGCATTTGCATCGCCCAGTTGCATACGACACATATATTTCAAATTTATAATACGTGTTTACAGTCTGTGAAACCAACCTGAATTTCATTTTATTGCTTCTATCTATCCCTGGGCCAGGGGAATCATAAAAGATGAGTTAGGGTTTGAGAAGCAGGCGAGGGGAGAGGAAACATATCCCCGGCGTGCGCAGGTAAGTTGACAGCCGTTGAACTTTTTATGGGGGTGATGTGCACCATCAAAACCTTCGGAGATAACGATTATTTTCTTAATAAAGCCAACACAATCCCCCATGCCACAGGTTACAAACGTGACTTCCCCTGTTTGTGCCTTCATTCTTCAGAAATACGGAAGGCAGGTGCGCTCTCTTGTTTTATAGGTGAGCCTCACGGGAGTGCACATTTGACAATATATGTCGCTGCCATTTCCGCTTTATGGCTAGCTCTTGTTGGCCCTATCAACGAACCTTCTTGAGAAGGTCAGACATATAAGTTTACTCACTTAAAGACTGGAAACGTTACGGGTTTCAGAACGGGTCCACCGCGCGGGTTGTTCAGGAAGACGCTGTGCTGCTAAGGCCAGACTCCAGGAGCAGGGAAGCTGTCTTGAGGCATCGAGCTTTTGCCCCAGAGCTGCGCTCAGCCTTCTCTGGCTCCTCTCTGTGGGGTGTGATGTCCGCACAGGGGATTTGCACAGTTGAAGGTGCTGAGTTGCGAAACAGAAGCTGTGAGTTGCTCTGTGAAAACGCTCACGTCCTGGGCGGGGGGCGGGGGCGGTTTGCGGGTTGTGGGCTAGAGAAGACTGGGCGGGAGTAAAGACACACCGCATGCGCGTAAAACCATGGGATCGCGTTTGCAAGCATCTCGCAAGCTGGCCGCAGTCGGAAGCCCTCTGTTTTTATTTAGATTTAACATTTTAAGTGTTTCGAGTGGAAGAATACCATTGGAGCAGGAGAGAGAGATTAGGCAGCAAGTTCAGTAACAACCATTCACTGTTTCGGGAAATTGAAATCATTTTTATCATGCCAGCGATGTCTTTGCGGACTTCCCCAACAGTTGAGTTCATTAACACAGCGTAAGGGAGAAGAATCTTTCTTACAAAATATCACCCCCACCCCACCCGCCGAGGTTGATTTTTGCTTCTGTTAAGCAGGATGCAGGTGGTGGCTCGCTCATTTTACTGTAATCCTGTGACTTCTAGAGGGAAGGATTTTGCAAGGCAGCCAGAGATGAAAGAGAATGAGTCCTAGGTGTTGGGGATTTCCCTGGGGGTCTATAAGGATTCAGGGAAACACCACAACGGCCGACGACGAGAATCTCCTGGACGCCCCATTGTTCCACACGGCCCCTGTGGGGTGCCCGACTAGATTGTTCTCCGGGAAAAGCAAAGACTGCCTGTGGTGTGTCCAGCAAGGGACTCCTCGGGCGCCTGGGGAAGCCGCCCAGGTGGGGGACGGGCGCACCCCGTGAGCGCTTCTCGCCCACCTGGGCCGGGGGGCAGATCCCCGATTCGGGTGACCCCGCCCTTGCCATGGCCACATCTGGCGTGTGTCCACCCTGAGAGATGAAGACTGAGAACAGACTCTTGGCGGAAAAAAGTGGGTCAGGCTGGTGCCCAGCCGCGCCCCTTCTTCTCCCCTCTCCCGGTGTGCTAGGAAAGGACCTCAGGCCTGACCTGGGGCTCACAGTCCCTGTCCCCTCCCTGCTCGCAGGAAGGGCTGGGAAGGCCTCCGGGCCCAGGGCCGCCCTCTCCCCAGTGACCGGGCCTCCCGCAGGTCTCCGCAGGGCAGTCGTTGACTCCCGCAGGTGCCGCAAGAGCTGCTCTGAGCGCGTCTGCTGACCGCTGGACACGGCACCGGTTCCTTCCCAGGAGCCAACGGCCGCTGACTGTCAGCTCCCCCAGTTCCTAGTGAACACAGCTGTCCTCGCTGATGGGAGCTGGGGCCTGGAGGGTCGGGGTGTGGGCCATCTGCCGGGGTCACGCGCCCTCAGACGGCAGGGCTCCTGTACCTCCACTCGGGTCGCGCCCCGCCCCGCCACGCGCAGGCTGTGCTGGCTCTCCAGGCCCGACTCCGCCCGGCCCTCAAGCCACGGGGATTCAACAGCCTCCAATTAGAGCCTCCAGCGTGCCCACGTGCGATGCGTCAACTTGCTGAACTTTCAAAGCCCCTTCCGGGGCAGGTCTCAGGCGAGCGGAGCCCGGGAAGGGTGGAAACAGCCACGGAGAAAGGAGAGGCGAGGTCTGCGTCTCTGCGGGGCCGCCCCGGGCCCCGTAGGTCCGCCGTCGGCATCCGCAGGCGGGCAGCTGAGTGGCCAAGGCCCAGAGCCCCAATTCCTGCCCCAGCTGCTCTGCTGGCCTTGGAACCTTGATGCCAGCTCACGTCCCGACGGCTCACTGGCACGAAGCCCAGGTCCCCAGAGAGGCCTGACTTACACAGCGGCCTCGTCGGCCTGGCAGACTCCGGCCTTGAGCCCGGGACCCGCTTGGAATGACCGGGTTTGCGTACCCAGCACCGGTATCTGGCTGGCCGCACCTGCCTCCCTGACCCGTCCGGCCCACCGTGTGTCCCAGGGCCCCTCCCAGTGTCACCTTCCCCCTGCCGCTGACGGCAGGGCGGCTGCCGGGCGGGACGCCGAGCCAGGGCATCTGCCTTCTGGTTTGCACACGGCAGCAGGGGTCACCTCACAGTGCCACGGCTCAGGTCTGAGGTGTGCGAGGGTCTCGGGCGTCTCTTTCTTCCCAAGAAAGCCGAAGGCAGAGATCCACATGCATCATCTCATTTCTGCAGTGAGGTGTAATTGAGCGCGTGATCCCTGGGGGCCCAACCCCTGGTGGGCGGGCAGGGACGAGCACCTGGGGACCCTTGGCCTGGGGGTCAGTGTCTAGACGGGACCCGGCCTGGTCAGAGCAGAGTGGGGCCTGGGCGCGGACTCTTCCTATCGCCCAAGGCAGGAAATGAAGCCGCCTCCGAGGGGCCAGCACAGGCCCAGCGCCAGGGCCTCGCCCCGCAGAGCCCTCCGCGAGGTCTGGGGGCGGAAGGCACCCCCCTCTGCTCCGACTTCGAGATCTGCCTCCTGCGCCAGCTCTCGGAGAGACCGGCCGGGCGGAAGTCGCCCGTGACGACGGCGTCGCTGCGGGCCGCGGGACCCTGCCGTCCCCAGGGGCTTCTGCGGCGTGGGCGCCGCCAGTGCGTCTCCGAGGGGCCGCCTCCCCTTCCGCTCTGTGTCCCGAGGGACCGCGTGGCTTCCAATCGGTGGCCGGTTTCGACCCCATTCAGGCCCTCACGCCCGGCACCCGGGGGTCGCCTGGTGCCCTCGGATGGAGCAGTCGCCCCCCCGGGAGACGGGAGGCTTAGCCCAGGGCCACAGGCCCCGAGCCACGGGCTGGCCCCGGCGCTGCCTCTCAGTTCTGCTGGGACACAGCCACCCGCCGCACGCACACACTGCCACGGGCACGGCCACGCTCCGGGTGGGAGTGCCGCGCCGAGGCCACGTGACCTGCGGTGCGGAAAGTGCTCGGAGTTGTCACCCTGACCCATCGGCCCCATGGCCCTGCGCCTCCCTCTTGCGCCCTCTCATGCCCTCCGTGCCCCGGGCTCCTGCGGGGTCTGTCTGGGGTGCTGCGGCCCCGAGGCAGGGCTCCCCTGGCTGCTGTCACCCAGGCCTCGCTTGGGGCGCTCTTCCCACAGGCACCATTTACCGCTCGTCCACTCAAGCAAAGCGATCCCCAGAGGCACGTCCTTCCTCTTCCTCGCACCTGATCACCCGATGGCAGTCACCACTCTGTAGTGAGCTTTGGCCCGCCCGACCTCATGAACGTACATGCCCTGCCTGCAAGCGCCTGGCCCGGCAAGGTCTTACCTGGCCCCAGAGGGCTCCAGAAATCTCTGCCGGCTGAGCAAATGGACATGCTGTTGGAGTACGACGCAGCCCTGCCGGCAGCGCTTACAAGGGAGGCGCGTGTCAGGTGACGTCTGTGCCACGTACTGCACTGGGAGGCTCACAGGAAAGAGCTTGATCGTCAGAGGCGCAGGAGGCACTGGCCACGAAGGCCACGGAGAGCGCGCAGGTCTGCGGGGGACAGGCGTCCTCGGGCAGACGAAGGCTTTCTAGAGCTACTTATTGAAAATGATTGCCCGTGAATATATGAAAATGTCCAATCTCACAAATCATTTTCAATCTTCAGAATAGTAAAGAGGAGGCAAAACACCTACCGGTATGCATGATGGGGAGCGTGTAAGAAGACTGGGTATTCGTGTACACTGCAAGTGGATGTCTAAATTAATCAAATCTTTTTTTCATTTGCTTGGACTCTGGCTTTTGTGCTTCTATTTTCCTCGGGTTTTATTGAGATCTAATTCACATATAACATTGTATTAGTTTGAGGTGCACAGAATGATGATTCCATATATGTAGATTTAGCAAGATGATCACCTCAACCAGTTTAGTCATAATTTTTTTAAAAATTTTCTTTTTATGAGAATGTTTTAGATTTAACCTCTAGCAACTTGCAAATAGGCACAGCACCATTG